ATATAAAATATATTTAAAATATATTGAAATTCAAGACTTTATCTTTGAATTATTAAAAATGTTTAAAAAAATAATATTTTATATTTTATATTAAGTGATTCTTATTAATTGTCCCATTAATACTAATTTTATTATAATATTAATTTAAAATAATATATTTTTCTCTTTTTCATAATAAACAAACCAGCTCGAACTCGTAGAATTAAGCTCAAGCTTTAGTTCTAGCTCGGACTTGATTAATTAATCAAGCTCATACTGAGGATGACTCGACCCAACTCGAATTGCTTACACTTATAATCAAGCTACACTCGAAATTGAGATAGTTCACATCAAGAGTTAACTAATGAGTCATATTTGGCCCGAGGTAAATTCAACTGAGCTTGACTCGTATTAAATCAAGTTAGCTAGAAGCCTAGAAATTGGATTGACCCTGCCTTCTTATATGAAAACAACTTATCCTCCACACAATTGCTTCCATGTTATTACCATCCATACAAGCAAAGAAACAATTTACATATCAAATTCCATTATATTTTATGATATTTGTCTCTTAATCAAACTTTATGAATAAATACTTATAACTAATCAGTAACATTGGTGTCATGAATATATGCATGAAAAGATGGCGTCACTTTTTAAAAAATAAATAATAATGATAGTTTTTATTTGATATTAGATGTTGGATTGTTATGCATATAAATATGAAAATATAACTGTCACATTAGTAAATTCATAATACGTTAATATTTATGTAGTATGTATGTATATGATACTAAATATAAATAGACATATATGAGAAAATGTATAATTGATGAACTCATAAATATGGAATTGCAAGAATAGATAGACTTTGATGTGTATTACTTGGTAAAGAATGCATTGCAAATTGGTTTATATAGGTGAGGTTAGCTAGGAAGAGAATCTTCCATGCAATAATTGGCAATGAGAATATGATATGTGTGCATGCTAAGACATAGAAATAATAGAATAGGGGATCATCCTATTGTGTTATTTCTATATCAGAGCATGCCCAAATACCATTATCATTTGCTTTAAAGAATGTGAAGATTTGATAGCTTTATAGAGAGAAATTGCCAATGGTGAGTTGGATGGTTACAAGATATTTTATGTTTGCTATGAAGAAATTGAGAGAAGAACTAATAGTGAGGGAGGGAGTTTGTTTTCATTTGTAGAATTTGGTGTGTCCACTTTAAATGGAAGAATAATAGAATGTGAAGAGAAGAGAAGGGGAGAAGAGTGGATCAGAGAAAATAATTTGTTAGGTCATTTTCAACTCTAATACCATGAGAAAAAATGGAATTGAAGAACTCAGAACATGTCATTGCCGAAAACCAATAGACTTCTATTATGTATTACTTGATAAAGAATTTATAGTAGATGAGTTTATATAGGTGAGGTTAGTGATGAAGAGAATTTTTGGTGAAGTAATTCGTAGAGGGAATGAGATTTGGGTATGTTATGATAATAGAATGGGACTCAACTGAGTTGTGATGAGATAGTCAGTATACAATGTGCTCTGAAAATGTCAGATGGGTTAGCATTTTTAAAAGTTAAAAATAAGTTTTTCATTCATTTTTTCAAAATTAAAAAAAATGATATTTAAAAATAATTTTAAAATAAAACTTCAATTTCTAAGAAATTTTAAAGATACAAAATATAGAAAAATATGATTATTTTCGCATGTAGTGTTTGAAAATTCATCGATAAAAGTTTTCAACTGAGATGATGGAATTAATGAAGATGATGGATGATGTTGAAGAATTGGAGAGATAATCGATCTAAATATTTTTATTTAATTAAATTTGTTGATAATAAGTTTTTATAATTATTTCATTTATTTTGAGGTGAGTTGTGGTTTTAATAATTTTTTTCACTGATTAATTAAAAATATTTATCTAAAAATAAATATAATAATTCTAAAAAAGAAATTAATTTGAAATATATATTTATAGCTCAATTTTTTAAAAAAAATTACAAATTAGAGTTTCAATAAATTTATTCAAATTGTATGAATTAATAGAGTTGGGCATTGAAATATGAATTTTCACACACTCTAATTTTTATTTGATATAGAATTATATAATTATTTTATCATAAGAACCGAATCATAAAATTTAATTATGTGTAAAAGATAATTTTGATGCACCCTTAAATTAATAGATTTGCATTTGCAAAATGTAGGCCTAAATTCAATTTTTAAGAAAGAAAATTTTTAAAAATTAAATTAAGAATTTAAATTATACATAATCATATTAATTAAAAATAATAGAACAATATTTTTCAACTTTAAGTTTGTCCACTTAGAATTTAATTTCACAATGAATTAATGATATATATGTATTTCTATATAAATCATTTTAGATTTTTTTGAAATATATTCAATATATTTGAAAGATAACATAAATACATTAAAAATCATATTTTTTTATAAAAATCATTATAAAATTATTAAATTTTATATATATTTCATTATATTCACTCAATTTTTTATATGCGATTTAATAGGTTATATGTTATATTTTTTTTTATTAAAATTGAATTTATTATGATTTTTTTAATATTAGATTTTTATTTTTATTTTTTGGCCGTAAAAAGAGAAAATTTTACGACAGTGAAACATAGATTACTGAGATGTAGGTGTAGACATAAACCACTAGACCAGAGGATGAATTTATAAATAAAAAAAAGAATTGGGTTGTTTTTGCTAATTCTTACTCTCTTTCAAAAAGCTATTGAATTTATTTATTTTTCATAAAATAAAAATTAATTCTAAATATATTTTAATTTTATATACAACTTGATTATGCCATACACTATACAAAAAAATGATATGATGTGATACTCATGTACATCATTAGAGACTAGAATATGTGTTTAGAGTCATGGGCTAATGCAAAATTCATTCATGTATTAATAAATTTCTCTATTATATAGACTTGGGATATAACATGCAATCAAACCACCTTGAAATTATTTGTTTAACAATGATCAAACACTAAATAAGTTAGGTTTGAACACTAAATTAAACAAACATACAAATGCTAAACGAACAAAAATCGAACTTTTTTGAACCATGATCGAGTCATGTTTATACAATAATCAAACATTTAGGAAACCAAGTTCAAACCTTTTATAATCCATGATTTAGCTAACCATCACACCATATTCAAATTGATTTTTTTTCATTACATCAACATACATTGAATGATAAATTGAATAAAATTAGTGCAAGATACAAAATTATTTCAAAAATTTATAGAATATAACACTTGTATTGTTTGAATTTTATTTAACATTTTTATTTGAATCAATATTAATCTTGAATAAAATAAATAATCCAATAAAAAGAAAACTATGATGTTTTTATATGGAGTAATAATTTTTTTCATATTTTCCCAATAAAATTACAAAAAAAAAATATTTCTTAAACTTTGGCATTATATGGCATGAAATGTCAAATTCTTTGTAACTAAAATGTATTAATTATGCACATGCCATCATAATCATATGAATTTATTTATTTTAAATATAATTACATATTTTCCATCATAATCATTTTCTTATTTTCAATTTGTTTGTTTTGCATTCTTTCTTATTTTTTCTTATTATTTTATTAGCTCTTCAATTAGGGCTGTCAAAACGGCTCGTTGCTCATGAACAGCTCTTGCTTGACTAGCTAAGAAGTTCGTGTTCTGCTCGTTCGCTAAGTTAACAGGTCGAACACGAACAACACAAACGAAGATTTGTTCGTTCGTGTTCGGCTCGTTTTGGCTCGAAATACTAATAATCAATTATATATATATATATATATAATAAAGATTTATAATCAATCATAAGTATTAATTAAGAAAATAGAATAAAAAATATTAAATAGATTCAAAAAGTGTTTTAATATGAACAAAAATTTTTAAATCTTGCCCCAATCTTTAACATCCTACGGCTATCTAATTAGGGTTGTCAAAACGACTCTTTGTTCGTGAACGACTCGTGTTCAGCTCGCTAAGCAAACGACCCAAATTCGAACACACTTTTTGAGCTTGAAATATAAATGAGCCGAACACGAGTTTGGCTCGTTTACACCCCTACCTTCAATGTTTATTCCCTTCGCTTGGGGATTGTTCTTTTTTTCTTTAGAGATGGATGAAAAGCCATTTTCTCGCGATCACAAGATGAACAAGCCGAATTTTCCTCAACAATCGAAGGAGCCCAAGTCCCCTCTTCCAGGTCTATAAATAAGTCCCCAACCTGCCAAAGTTTCTTTGTCAATAGTAGTTGTTCAGTCGCAGGTAAGATTTAGTAAATCCTGTAAACCTGGATTTATCAAATCCTGAAATGGCTAAATCTCAAAAACTGTTGAGTAAATTCTGATAAATTTCGAGAAATTGTTTGACAAATTTAAAAGATTTAACAAAATTTATGAGAATAAATATAGGAAAATAAATATTAAATAAGAATAAAAAAACAAATGAGTATCTCAAAATGCATAAAAGGGACACTTACATTAATTAATAAGTAATTATATTAATTAAAAATTAATAATTCTTTAATTAATTGTTTTTAGCAATAATTTAATAGTAATCAATCACTAATCAATGATATAAATTAAGAATTAATAATCTTTAATTATTTATTTATTACTTAACTGTTAGATTATTACATTTAAATTTAGGAAAATTTACATATGCACCACCTAATCCTTATGCATAAACTTTAATTTTTACAATTTAAGCACTTTTATGTATATGAAAAGTAGGATTATAGAATTTCAATATTTTTATTGTAGAAATCAAAATTTAGATGTGAGAGATGTAAATACATAAGAATTGAAGGCTAATCGACCAATCAGCAATGATCTCATGATCACAAGATGAACGGTCCAGATCTTTCTGGGCAGTCAAAAGGAGCACAGCTTCACTCTTCCTGGTCTATAAATAAGCCTTCAACCCCCCGTCATTTCTCTTTTCCAGGGAACCCTCTGCCTCGTCTCGCCTCTCCTCTGGAGGATCTGAGGCCATTTCTCCTCCTTTCTCTCTCTGTTTGACACAAGTTCTACTCCTTTTCTTTCTCTATCCGACACTACTTCACAGTAAGAAGAACTAAAGTGCCAAATTTTGATGCGATCGAGCTGCTCATCTCGAATATTCTCCTTTTTTTTTTCCAAAGCCCTAATTCGCACAATTTTCCGCCCTTACCTGCCGGCTTGATTTGCATCAGCAGCCATGGACATACGCTTCCCTTACTCACCGGCGGAGGTTGCCAAGGTGCGATGCGTACAGTTCGGCATCCTCAGCCCTGATGAAATTGTAACACCTCGAACCTTTTTTTTTATCTTCTTTTTCTCCATGTTTTTAATAGTTTGATTTGGGGGTTTGAGTTGTGATAAGTGTGGTGGGGTTGTGGTTGTAGCGGCAAATGTCAGTTGCACAGATCGAGCATGGGGAGACTATGGAGAGAGGCAAGCCGAAGCCTGGCGGGCTCAGTGATCCGCGGCTGGGAACCATTGACCGGAAGATGAAGTGTGAAACTTGCATGGCCAACATGGCAGAGTGCTCTGGCCATTTCGGTCACCTTGAGCTTGCCAAGCCTATGTTCCATATCGGCTTTCTGAAGACTGTGCTTGCTATCATGAGATGTGTTTGCTTCAATTGCTCCAAGATCCTTGCGGATGAGGTTTCATATCTCTCCAGCTTCTTCTTTTTTGTTTTGCTTAGTGATCGATCTGTTCATGGTGGAGCTGTAATTACTTTCTTTTGATGTTGAAGTGGTCCATAAAGTTGAACAAGTTGCAAGAGTTTGATCACTTTAAAATTCAACACACTGGATTTGCATAGAAGTTAAGAAACTAGAAACAAAGGGCTTTCTTTTGTTTGATTCCAGTTTAACCTGATGGTTGTATTTTGTATTTTAACATGTTCGTTATGCAGTTATTGCTTTTTTAACTGGTAATGATTTGTGATTGCCTGCCAATGAGAACTTTTGATAATCCAAACTGAACTGTGTGTTTATGAAACTGAGAAGCAGTTCTTGTTAGTCTATATCTTGGGAGATGGCCGACGACAAATGAAGCCAAGTAAAGATGTTTGACCAGCTTTAATGGTTAAAAATTGTCTGAAATTAGCAGTTTTAGTGGGTTATATAGTGGAAAGAAATGATAATAGTTTGAGCATAGGAAAGGTGGGGTTCTCAATCAAGTTAATATCTATATCAATGCATGCTCGTACTTCTCGTAAGGGAATTTTGTGATCTTAACCATCACTCTGCAGAAATACAAATTATTATTTCCTGTAAATTAATTTTTTTGATGGTTGAAACTCTTGAATTTGGGCTGCTAATAAGGCTAATCAAGCTGATTCTACTTATTCAAATATCTTTATATTGTTATTGAGTTTAAGGTGAGCTTGAACATGAGTGGGAATATAAAATCTTATTTATTTATATTGAGATTGAGTTGTAATTGAGTTTATCTAATTGTATATTCGTAGCTGATAGTTTAAAAATTATGCTTATTGCTAGGCATAGAAGGATTTTTTAGTTTTAATTAAAATTAACATAATTAACTAAGATTTATTTATGTTGTTTAGTGATGTTATAATATTTTCTAAAAAAATAGTCTATATATTTAGTTAGTTGTTTGCATCATTTTTATATTTCAAATAATAAACAAATTTTAAGGTATATATGACAAGGAAACATAGATACAAGAGCATATAATAAATCATTAAATAAGTAATTAAATCATGATTAAATGAGCATCTAGTCGAGTTCTTAGCGAGCTACTTGCTGAACGAAAACTGAGCATATTTACTAATATAGATGAACAAGCTGATCATTGTAATGTAAACAAGTTTCATGTGAATGGGTATCGAGTTATGTAAACGAGTTTCATATGAATGGGTATCGAGTTATTTATCAAGTACTAATTGCCCACATTCATTTAGTGATTACTCCCCATCTAGGGGATCTAGGCTACTTTTGGTATAGCTGGAAATTTTCATCTTACATAGAAATGTGAGTTTCTCTGTAATGTTCATATGCTCATAGATTCACACAGAAAGTGTTTGTGCAAAATGACGCATCTTTAAACATATTTATCATACAAACCAAGTTTCATTCCAAATTTTAAGCATAGAATAAGCTGAGTCTGAACCAAACTAAGCTCTACTTGCTTCAAATCGTAATTTTCAAGCCAGGATGCTGTTGTGGGATGCTTGCCCGCCTTTGATGTTCTAATTGTTATAAAAAGAAGTTTCTTCTGAAACAATCGGGCAAATTTCTCTCTTTTTTCTTGCCTTTAGATCTTTCTATTTTCCATTAAAATTGGCTTTCATTTTATTTATTATTATTATTTTTTTGTGTAAGCAGATGCTTCTTGCAGAGTGTCTTTCACTTATGATGCTGCTATAGGAATGATGTTGATAGGCTTTTTAATTTGACAAGGATGAGCCTTGTTTCTGAATTTAAATTTTGCGAACTACATCAGTGTTTAGAACTGCTTTTCCTGGAATCTTTTCTTCCTATAACAAGTCATTCAACTTCCATGATTTTATGGTCTTTTGACTACTATTGAGATTTTTTCGGCATGTATTTCAGTCTTAAAAACTGGTTAAACATTTTTATTAATGGAGAAACGTGTCAAAATAGCCGCGGGTCTCTTTATAAGGTCATTTTAGTTGACACTTTCTTCAATATGGTTTGAAATGGTCCCTAGTTATGGTTTGAAATAGGCCCCCACTGAAGACTATTTCGACACCAATTTAAAGGGTATGGAGACTAATTTAACACTTTTATAAACGCTGAGACTTAAATGGCTTCCAGGAAAACAACCAGGGGGCTTTTTTTGGCACTTTATTCATTATTAATGTTTGCTGTGCTTTTTATGGTTTTCTATTTTTGATCTTTCTCTTGGCATTTTTTTTCATGCTTGATCGCCTTCTATTCACAAGCATTGCATCTTTTCAGGAAGATGCTTTTTTTGGCACTTTATTCATTATTGATGTTTATTTTGCTTTTTATGGTTTTCTTTTTTTGATCTTTCTCTTAGCATTTTTTTTCATGCTTGATTGTCTTCTATTCACAAGCATTGCATCTTTTCAGGAAGATGCACGATTCAAGCAAGCTTTAAAGATCAGAAATCCAAAGAACAGGTTAAAAAGAATTTATGATGCCTGTAAAAGCAAGAAGAAATGTGCAGGTGGTGATGATATTGATCTTCAAAGTCAGCAAGATTCTGAAGAACCCGTTAAGAAAAGCCGAGGCGGATGCGGTGCTCAGCAACCTAACATTACTATTGATGGCATGAAAATGGTGGCTGAATATAAAGCTCCGAAGAAGAAATCAGATGACCAAGAACAGCTTCCGGAACCTGTTGAAAGAAAACAAGTTCTTTCTGCAGAGAGGGTAGCGATTGTTTGAATTTCGGAAGATTTACATGCATATGCCTTAATTCTTATTTGAAAAAAGTGATGAATGTTGGGAAGAAATTTATTAATGTAAATTAAAAATTATAATTTCGCACGACAAATAAAAAATTTTATTTATGCAAACCACATAAACTTTGAATAATTACATAAAAGATGAAAATACCCTTCAATTCAACCCTTCAATTCATGCTGGCCGCCATTAAATTGGATGAAAAATATGATTTGGGGTCAATTTGGAGTAACTTCTGGCCACCATTAAATTGACTGAAAAATATGATTTGGGGTCAATTTGGAGTAACTTTTAATAGACAGTGAGTAAATTGGAGCTTTCTAAAACTCTGAGACTAAATTGGACACTTTTTATTAGTTAAGGGACTATGTTGGACTTTTAGTCCTTGAAAATGTGTATTTGACTTATCAGAAGTTAAAATAGTAGTATTTTTTATGTGATATGAATAATTTGTGGGGTATAATGTGAAGAGTGAAGTTTAGGTGTTAGATATGTAAATACATAAGAATTGGGTGGTATGTGTGTAAATGCCCATTAAATTTTTGTTCACATCTTCATGTTTTCAACCTCCTTTTTCATTATTTTCGCATAATCTTAAACTCGCTCCAAACTGAATGGTTTCAGGTTCTTAGTGTTCTGAAGAGGATAAGCGATGAGGATTGTCAGCTGCTCGGCTTGAATCCAAAGTATGCTCGTCCTGATTGGATGATATTACAGGTCCTACCAATTCCTCCTCCTCCTGTGAGGCCATCTGTGATGATGGACACCTCTTCCAGAAGTGAGGTGGGTTCATATTTGTACGACTCTTTTGTTGTATCCATCTCACTTCTTATCATGGCTTGCTAATTGGAAGTCTTTTCAAACTTTCAAGAAAAGAGGTAATTAATTAGTGACTTGAACTGTGTATCCAAATTTTTTTTCTCACTGCTAAACTCTTGATAATTATTTCTAGCTCTTTGCAATAAGAACTTGTAATATATATTCAAAATGTTCTGCAAGCTCTAATTTTTCTTTTCCTTAATGTTGCATAGAATCCTTGTTCTTGTTTTGTAAGAGGTTTGCCTATCTCTTCAGACTAAGAAACTTCTTAGCAATTTTAATTGTGATCACTTTTAATGTATTGACGATTTTACTTCTATATATGGACAGGATGATTTGACTCATCAGCTTGCAATGATAATAAGACATAATGAGAATTTAAGGCGACAAGAAAGGAATGGAGCTCCTGCTCACATCATAACAGAGTTTGCTCAGTTACTGCAGTTTCATATTGCAACATACTTTGATAATGAGCTTCCTGGTCAGCCAAGGGTATGAGAATTTTTCGTGATCTTTGTTTTCATATTTCATGTTAATATGGATCTTTGTCTGTAACTTGTTATTCCTTTTCTTGCAATCGCAGGCCACCCAGCGTTCAGGACGACCGATTAAATCAATTTGCAGCAGACTGAAGGCGAAAGAAGGTAGAATCAGAGGTAATTTAATGGGAAAGCGAGTTGATTTTTCAGCACGGACAGTCATAACACCTGATCCAACAATTAATATTGATGAGTTGGGAGTTCCATGGAGCATAGCTTTGAATCTAACTTACCCAGAAACTGTAACTCCATATAACATTGAGAGGTAGCAAAATTTGTAATTCAAAAGACGTTCCTTTTTGCCTGACTTGTATGTTTGTGTTTTGATCAATAAATTTTTATCAGGCTGAAGGAGTTAGTTGAGTATGGGCCTCATCCTCCTCCTGGTAAGACAGGCGCGAAGTATATTATCAGGGAAGATGGCCAGAGACTTGACCTTCGATATTTGAAGAAAAGCAGCGACCACCACCTTGAGCTTGGATACAAGGTAAGCTTTGTAATATCACCTTCTGCAAGCTTTACAGAAGCTGACATTTTTCTAAACTTTTGGCAGGTGGAGCGGCATTTGCAAGATGGGGACTTTGTGCTTTTTAACCGGCAGCCTAGTCTCCACAAAATGTCCATCATGGGTCACCGGATCAAAATCATGCCTTATTCAACTTTTCGCCTGAATTTATCAGTGACCTCTCCATACAATGCTGATTTTGATGGAGATGAGATGAACATGCATGTTCCCCAGTCATTTGAAACTAGAGCAGAGGTTCTGGAGCTTATGATGGTGCCTAAATGTATTGTTTCTCCTCAGTCGAATCGGCCTGTTATGGGCATTGTCCAGGATACTTTGTTAGGATGTCGGAAGATCACCAAAAGAGACACATTTATAGAAAAGGTGTTTGCCTTCTCCCCCTTTGATTTAATTTTTCTTATTTAGTGTTTTACTGAACCATTTCATGGATCTAATTGTGGGCTGGCAGGATGTGTTCATGAATATTTTGATGTGGTGGGAGGACTTCGATGGAAAAATTCCCGCTCCTGCAATTTTAAAGCCAAGGCCTCTCTGGACGGGAAAACAAGTGTTTAATCTGATCATACCCAAGCAGATTAACTTGGTGAGGTTTTCAGCGTGGCATGCCGAATCAGAAACAGGATTTATTACACCAGGAGATACACAAGTTCGCATCGAAAAAGGAGAGCTTTTGTCGGGAACTCTCTGCAAGAAGACCATGGGGACATCTACTGGGAGTCTGATTCATGTTATCTGGTATGTTTATGCATCCCAACAATTTATTTGGTTGCTTTTTTGAATGTGTAATACTGTATCCTAATGCGCTTATATATGTTCAGGGAGGAGGTTGGCCCGGATTCAGCGCGAAAGTTTTTGGGACACACTCAGTGGCTCGTTAATTATTGGCTTTTACAGAATGGATTTAGTATTGGAATTGGTGATACAATTGCTGATGTTGCTACAATGGAGAAGATTAATGAAACAATATCGAAGGCTAAAAATGATGTTAAAGTGCTTATCAAGGAGGCTCAGGATAAAGTTTTAGAAGCTGAGCCAGGACGAACCATGATGGAGTCTTTCGAAAATAGAGTGAATCAGGTATTACTTTCTCGCCTTACCGTGCTCGAAAATTAGCATTCAGTGAGGCTTGTTTTTTACTTGCTCTTTTCCTTCCCAGGTGTTGAACAAGGCACGTGATGATGCTGGAAACAGCGCCCAAAAAAGTCTTTCAGAGAGTAATAATCTGAAAGCAATGGTTACAGCTGGATCAAAGGGCAGCTTTATTAATATTTCACAGATGACTGCCTGTGTGGGGCAGCAGAATGTGGAGGGCAAACGAATACCATATGGTTTCATCGGTCGAACATTACCTCACTTCACAAAAAATGATTATGGTCCTGAAAGTCGTGGTTTTGTGGAGAACTCTTACCTCCGTGGTTTAACTCCGCAGGAGTTCTTTTTTCATGCTATGGGTGGTAGAGAAGGTCTGATTGACACGGCAGTGAAGACTTCTGAGACTGGTTATATCCAGCGCCGCCTAGTGAAAGCTATGGAGGATATAATGGTCAAATATGATGGTACTGTTAGAAATTCATTGGGTGATGTTATCCAGTTCCTGTATGGAGAAGATGGCATGGATGCTGTTTGGATTGAATCACAGAAGTTGGATTCGCTAAAGATGAAAAAAGCAGAGTTTGATAAAGTCTATAGGTACGAGATTGATGATAACAACTGGAGCCCGAGCTATATGTTGCCTGAACATGTCGAGGATCTGAAAACCATTCCGGAGTTCAAAAATGTTTTCGATGCAGAGGTCCAAAAACTGGTGGTTGATAGGTATCAGCTGGGCACGGAGATTACTACTACTGGAGATAACTCATGGCCAATGCCAGTGAATTTGAAAAGACTCATTTGGAATGCACAAAAGACATTCAAAGTTGATTTGCGACGGCCTTCTGATATGCATCCGATGGAGATTGTGGAGGCTGTTGATAAGCTTCAGGAAAGACTTAAAGTTGTTCCTGGAGATGATTTTCTGAGCATGGAAGCCCAGAAAAATGCCACTTTGTTTTTCAATATCTTGCTACGGAGCACTTTCGCAAGCAAACGGGTATTGAAAGAGTTTCGGCTTACGCGTGAAGCCTTTGAATGGGTCATTGGTGAAATAGAATCACGTTTTCTACAGTCGCTCGTCGCGCCTGGCGAAATGATTGGGTGTGTGGCCGCTCAATCCATTGGAGAACCAGCTACCCAGATGACGCTGAATACGTTCCACTATGCTGGTGTTAGTGCCAAGAATGTCACCCTTGGTGTGCCGAGGTTGAGGGAGATCATAAATGTTGCTAAGAAAATCAAGACACCTTCACTCTCCGTTTATTTAAAACCGGAGATAAACAAGCTCAAAGAATTAGCAAAGAATGTACAGTGTGCCTTGGAGTATACTACCTTGCGAAGTGTAACTCACGCAACAGAAGTATGGTATGATCCTGATCCAATGAGCACAATCATTGAAGAGGATGCTGAGTTTGTGAGGTCATATTATGAAATGCCTGATGAAGAGGTTGCCCCCGAAAAGATTTCTCCTTGGCTGCTTCGTATTGAGCTCAACCGAGAGATGATGGTCGACAAGAAATTGAGCATGGCGGACATTGCGGAGAAGATCAACCACGAATTTGATGATGATTTAACATGCATTTTCAATGATGATAATGCTGAGAAACTCATTCTTCGGATACGTATCATGAATGATGAAGCCCCTAAAGGAGAATTGCAGGACGACACTGCTGAAGATGATGTCTTTCTCAAGAAGATTGAGAGCAACATGTTGACTGAGATGGCTCTTCGAGGCATTCCAGACATAAACAAAGTTTTCATTAAATCTGGAAAGATAAACAAATTTGATGAGAATGAAGGATTCAAACCTGATACTGAGTGGATGCTTGACACAGAAGGTGTTAATTTGTTGGCCGTTATGTGCCATGAAGATGTTGATGCATCTATTTGATGAGAATGAAGGATTCAAACCTGATAATGAGTGGATGCTTGACACAGAAGGTGTTAATCTCTTGGCCGTTATGTGCCATGAAGATGTTGATGCATCTAGGACTACAAGCAATCACTTGATAGAAGTTATTGAAGTTCTCGGGATTGAAGCTGTCCGTCGTGCCCTTCTGGATGAGCTACGCGTCGTTATATCTTTCGATGGATCCTATGTTAACTACCGGCATTTGGCCATTCTCTGTGACACGATGACTTACCGAGGTCACTTGATGGCTATTACTCGGCATGGCATAAATCGTAATGATACCGGACCGATGATGAGGTGCTCATTTGAGGAAACTGTTGATATTCTACTCGATGCTGCAGTTTTTGCAGAATCTGACAATCTACGTGGTGTAACTGAGAACATTATGCTCGGCCAGCTCGCACCGATTGGCACTGGAGGTTGTGCATTATATCTAAACGACCAGATGCTTCAGCAAGCTATTGAACTCCAGCTTCCTAGTTACATGGAGGGTCTTGACTTTGGAATGACCCCTGCCCGTTCGCCGATCTCCGGGACCCCTTATCACGAAGGAATGATGTCGCCGAGCTATCTTCTCAGTCCAAATATACGTTCATCGCCTATCACCGATGCTCAGTTTTCACCTTACGTTGGCGGGATGGCCTTCTCTCCTAGTTCGACACCAGGCTATAGTCCATCCTCTCCAGTCTATAGTCCATCATCACCAGGATACAGTCCCACTTCTCCTGGATACAGCCCCACTTCTCCTGGATACAGCCCAACCTCTCCTGGATACAGTCCCACTTCTCCAACATACAGCCCTAGCTCTCCAGGATACAGTCCAACCAGTCCTGCTTATTCTCCCACCAGTCCATCTTACTCTCCTACTTCGCCTAGCTATAGCCCGACATCACCGAGCTATAGTCCTACCTCACCCACGTACAGCCCGACTTCTCCGACCTACAGTCCCACATCACCAAGCTACAGCCCCACTTCTCCTGCTTACAGTCCTACTTCACCGGTTTACAGCCCAACTTCGCCGTCTTATAGTCCAACCTCACCTTCTTACAGCCCAACTTCACCCTCGTACAGTCCAACTTCGCCCTCATACAGCCCCACGTCACCTGCCTACAGCCCGACATCTCCGGGTTACAGCCCGACTTCTCCAAGTTATAGTCCCACATCCCCCAGTTACAGCCCAACTTCTCCAAGCTATAATCCTTCAGCAAAATACAGTCCTTCTCTAGCATATTCTCCTACCTCCCCAAGATTGTCCCCTTCCAGTCCATACAGCCATTCATCTCCAAAATACAGGTAAAAGTTGTTTCTTTGCAAACTCAACCTCTCTTATTTGAAAACAAAACATTTTTTTTTTTAGAATTAATTTCTAATATTACACTCACGCAGCCCGACTTCACCGTCATATTCTCCTACGTCGCCTACGTACACACCACCGAGTCCTACGTACAGTCCAACCAGGTAAATCTTTACTTCATTTATCTAAAATGATCACACTTTAGACAAAATTGAATTCTAAATTTCTATTTTTGAATCATTTGCAGCCCATATAATTCTAGCATGAGCCCTGATTACAGTCCAAGCTCTCCACAATTCAGGTATATTTTACATACCTAACCCACAAATCTTATGTTTTTACATACCTAAAAAACATTCATATTTATTACATGCATATCACTCAAATCTTTGCGATCAACATCAAAAAATCAAATACAACCTTTTATGCAAAGGTTTATGACACCTAGGTGTTGTAAGTGTAAATATCAAACTTTAGAATATTAGGGGTATGTATGTAAATTTGTCTAATTTGTATTATTGTTCTGTCAAAAAATCATTTTGCAGTCCAAGTGCTGGCTATTCCCCCACTGCTCCAGGCTATTCTCCCTCCTCAACAAGCCAATATACTCCTCAGACGAGCAACAAAGATGAGAGCAGCACTCGTTGAAATCTCTCATATATTGTTAGAGAACAAATGATGAGGGTGTTTTATGCTAATTTGTGCACTTTTGTTAATTTTGTGCTTCATATTTGCATGAAGTCCGAATGACTGAGAGGGAACAAGGTTGGCTATGAAACAGTTTTTTTTTTTTTTGTAATTTGTATATTTTCTGGGGGGAGAATGGTAAAAAAAATAATGGACTGTTAAGTTGGTTTTCGGACCTCATATAGAACTTATATTTAATATAATGTTGATCTTATCTTAGCCAATTTTATTTTTTTCCTGTTGATTTTTAGGAAGATTTACATGCATACCACTCAATTCTCACATATTTACACATGCAAAGCCTAATTTTCAATTCTTACATGTATGCATGAACACTCTTATTTCACTTTTTGAAAGTTAAGTTGGCAGAAATGTAAAATTCAAATTTTAGTTGTTAGATATGTAAATACATCTGAATTGGGTGTTTATGTAAATTGATTTGTCATCTATCTGTATAACATCTGTAAATATAGATTGTAAGGGAATGCAAAGAGCTATTTAAGGTCTTAAAGTTGATATATTTGTTGATTACAACCTGAAAAACGTGCCGAAAATCTCTTAATTTAAGCCTAAAAATAGTTGATAATAATAATAATAAAAAAAAAGGTGTGCATTCAAGCCATCCAATTCCTGTGTACTTACATATTTTTTACATTTATGCCACAAATTTTTCATGCACTAATAAGATGGAGTTAATAATAATAATAATAAAAGGTCGTGTGCATTCAAGCCATCCAATTCCTGTGTATTTACATATCAAACATCTAAATTTTAATTTTTTATATTTATGCCACAAATTTTTCATGCACTAATAAGATGCCATATATATATATGTTAAAATTAAAATATAGGTGTGAGATAAATACATAGGATTTGAGTGATTTGTAAATGTTTCAAAAAAATAAGAATATTATGTTTTAATTTAAGCTATTTGACATTTTCCAAAAAAAAAATAGGAAAAAAGGTGAAATTTTTATGATATTGATTTAATATTCTTTGATTTTTTAATATACTAACAATTCAAAACATTTTGAGATATCTTAAAAATAATTTAATTTATTTAAAAAAGAATAGTTAAATAATACATCCAACAATACATTTCTTTGATTTTTTAATATACTAACAATTCAAAATATTTTGAGATATCTTAAAAATAGTTTAATTTATTTTAAAAAGAATAGTTAAATAATACATCCAACAATACATTTATATATAAAATAAACCGCTGGTTTTCAAGGATTGTGAAATAAAATGAAGGAAGATTTACATGCATACCAATAAATTCTCATACATAGAGGCGGAGATTATTCTTGAGTTATTTTCAGGTTATTTCTGGGTTATTTTCAATAATTCCGAAATAACTTAAGAATAACCCAAAAATAAGACCACGAGTTATTTTTAGGTGATTTCATGATTATTGAAAATAATTCAGAAATAACCTGAAAATAATTCAGAAATAACCTGAAAATAACTCAAGAATAACTTAAGCGGACGTAGAGCTATGTCAGGTGCCCGGACAGAAAATGCGCGCCATCAAGCACCCATTGTGCCCCATTGAGCTTCAACCATACAAATGACAAGGAATTCCATAAATTCATGTTAAACAAATACCAGTGCTCACTTAACATTTTGTGTAAGAGTTCATTTTCTAGCTTCAAAAAATAAAACAAAATAAAATAAAATAAATAAAGGAATATTTACATGCAGACCACTCAATTCCTATGTATTTACATACCAACACCACTTCAATTTTTACATACATAACCCCTTACCTATGCATGAAAAAATGTGATTTTTACCCTTCAAGAGTTAACATAGTGGTATTAAAAAGTAAAGTTTAGGTGTCAGATATATAATTAGATAGGAATTGGGGGGGTATGCATGCAAATGCCCCTGAAAGATAAAGTAAATTGCATAACCAATTTAAACTGATGAGGAAAAGTAGGGAAAAATTAGACTGAAAAGGTAGGTCTGAGTACTATAGGATTTACAAAGTGAAATGTGCCCACATGTTTTTATCAAGAAAAAAAGGGTGGGGAAGGAAATTAAATTAAAAAAAAAAAAAGGGTTTCCTAGTAAATAATTCTTTATAGTCCCATCATCCTGATGTGAAAGTAAACCCTAAATTACATGAAGAGATTACAAAGAACAAAGGGATTTGATTCCTTTGTGATAACATGGTGACAGCAAATTCATCATAATAAATCAAAGCAGAAAGCTGGTGGGTTGAAGCAACAACCTTAGTAGTGTCGTATCAGGGGCCGGCGAGATCTGCTTGCGCGGCGCATGGTGCGAGAGAGTTGTGAGGAAGGGTGATTCCTCCCCCTCTCAATGAAAGTGATGGAAGCTTGGCCGAGCTAGCTCGGCTTATAAGATTAGAATCGAGGAATACGACCACCACCGTTATGTCGTCATGGAAATGCCGGCGAACTCCGCGATCGATCTTCTTAAGATCTGAGTACCTCATCTCTCTCTTCTTGGCTGCGGCTTGGAGTGCGGTTTTTATAAGCTTTTTGGCGCTTCCCTGCTTGAAAAATTAATGGTCAGTAGTTCTAAGTTCTAATCCCCTATAGAACAAAGTATTAAAAAGATTTCTGAAGCTTTGATGATTGGGTTTAAGTGAATAAGAAGGTATGGCGCAAAAACTTAGTCTGTATGAGTGAGAAAAGCCTGAAAATTCTTCACCCCAAAAGTGAAAATTTTGTCGATTTCTTTTGAGAATAATGTGCTCTAAGAAAACAAATGCATAGTAATTTCTCAAAACGTGAGTATAAGCTCAAATCCACATTCCTAAAGCTAGCGTGCATATCCATATGGGAGCGATCTCCATGGCACTTGGGAGGATCATTACACTACATTACCTTTATTGACAGCTGATTAAAAAGACATGAGTTTATTTTATTAAAAATAAATCTGACAAGTTTATCATTTTTTTATCATTTTTGTGGAAAATGAAACTAAAGCCAAAATGAAGTGCATACATAGTAATAACAATAGGGAATACAGCTTTGAATAATTAAAAAAAATGTTCTAAGTAGGACACATTCATTTTGATATGTCAATTTTGTGCCACATTCGATTTAGCTTATCAATGATAACCATTATTTATACATCCCGCACAAAAGATGAAGAGGATACTCATCTAAAGAGATCATGACACTAATAAACCAAAGAAAAATATGTGCACATTATTACTCTTAAATATAAGAAAAAACATTACTTGCTATAATGAATATTTAAACACAAATAAAACTGAAAATGCACATAAATAAGTCTCAGGAGAACAACTCACACTTCGAGGAGTGCTATTCACAATGTCTACTGCTTGTTGATTGCTAAGGTGTTCCCATAGCCCATCAGATGCAAAAATAAGAAACTGATCCGGTGGCTGAAGTGGATGTACAGAAATTGATGGCTCGGAACTAAGTATCGGTTTTTTGAAAGGCTCTCGGAGGCGAAATTTTGCATACAAGGGCTCACGATTATACTCTGCTTTCTTGAGATATATATCACCAATGGACCTGGATACCTGCAAAAAGAAATGAAATTAGATTTACTAAAGCCAAAAAACGGTTGTTAATACAATATCAGGAAGTCAAAGAATACACATGCCACGTTCACATATTATTGTAAACACAACCACACAAAAACAAGAGAGAGAAAGAGAGGGGATGTGAGCCAAAACACAGTGAAACAAAAATTTTCTAATTTATTTTGAAGATATGTTAGAAATATCATTTGTGGATTATTTTAGATAGGTATATAAATTGTTAATTTACCGAACCAAAACTTGGGAAACATCATCGCAGTAGTTCACTACATTGCATAACAGTTGTGGATCAATTCAAAAAGTGTTCTAACCGTATAACAAATCAACAAATTCAATCTAATAACAAATCAGCTTACTTCAATCGATAAAACTTCAATAATGAAGTTTTAATCTTAAGAGTTTGTTGGAGTGCAATTATGATGGTGGCCAAAAGTTTGTATGGATCTAAGATGTAGAAAGTTGACAGTATCCATGACATAAATATGAAAACGAGTATCAGATGAAAGCACTTATTATTTTGCTTTAAATATTAACAAAAAAAATATAAAACTAGGTATAACTGAGGGAGGTAAAAAAGTTGAATAGAACATTACAATAATAAAAATAAAAATCAATACAATGATCATAGTGGTTGAACCAGAGAATGCTTCCATTGAAGAGATTGCCAAGAAAAGTTTGGCAAAATTAAAATAAACAAGAGAAGACAGTGAATGCATCCATGGAAAAGATTTAAGAAATAAAAAATGCTTCCTCAATGTAAATAGTGCCATGGAACCATAGATCCTGGACTCAAATGCTTCTTTTCCCTCTACTTTACATAAAAGGCTCAAGTCTAACTATGTTGTAAGAAATATAAGAAAATTTATCTTGTTGAAGATGTTCCCATTTGCCTCTTAGTACTTAATAATCTTAAAACCAAACTGCTAATGAGACAATACAATAGATTTGAGTCTTGAAAAGGATTGTGATTTCCATTGGATAACTAAATGAAAAAAGATGCAACTTAATTTTTAGTAGACAGCCCTTGAAGGTTACCATGGGTACTTTGGTGATAGCGTAAGGCAACAAAAATGAAAAACTATATATGACCTCCAGCACTAGAATATTGCAAGTAACTACATACTTAAATGTTAACTCATATGCAGAGCACCTAAGATTGAGACATAAGTAAGAAAGGGATGGATTCTACTCTCAAAAGGTAAGCTTCGACAATTTTGTAATATTGATTGCTACGAGGACTGAAATTTTGTATAGGAAAGAAAAGGCAATTTTCAAGAACTATACAAAAAATGAAAAAACTCAACTCAATCGGTTGAGCTTTTAATAAAATGACATTTGGGAATAATCCTTGTGGTCATTTTACTATGTCATCATCATTAATAACTCCAAAAAATATGAATTCAGGCCAGAACAACAAAAAAAAACCTTTTTAATACTTTTAAAAGGTTAAAAAGGTGAAAAAACTTGGTAGAAAATCTACAGCAAGACAAGTGGCCAAAGAACAGCAAAAATGAGAAAAGCATGACGACAAGAAGCTCTAAAAATTTTATGTATAGCTAGTGGGATCCATCAAAACGACGGTATTTTTAAGAGTCAAATTAGATTATGGCACAGCTGAGACATAATCTTTGACACACAAGATGAGCAAGGGCTTTGACTTTGAAGCGAGGTAGACTTCGATAGGCAGACTCAGATCATAGTTTGATATCCCATGTTAGTGGTTCAATCATGCAATGAACAATGATATAGCTTTTATGTTTACCCTCATTACTGGTATCTTCTATGGTGGAATCATAACTTAGATTTTAGCATGCATGACTTTATAAATATGTTTATTGAAGTTTTTAATGATATTTGGATGCTTACCTTAAATCACTCCGAGTGGACTAGTTGGTTATATGGTTGAAAGCTAGGGGCATCATTTTCACCATTTGTTGATGGGTAATACATTTCAATAGATGATGGGTTAGTTTGGATCACTATTGTTGATCTCACTTCAACCATTATATTTTATTCAATTTATAGGTTGTTTTTTTTTTATATAATGATATATTTATGATACTTCGATGGAGTTCTTTGGTATCACTATAATCTGATAAAATTTTTGTTATTACCATGTCTAACTTGATGGGTTTGACTATTCAAAACCAAACTTTGGATAAAAGATACTGTTTTATTTTAAAATTTGTCATTTCTAAATAATTGCATGAAGTTTATTTAGTTTGGTTTCTTAGTTTATTAATGTGCCGTATCCTACTTTCTACCATTTTGTTGTATTGCTATGTCCATAGCGTTTCATGTTTGTATCATTGTGTCTATGTCTGTTTCAAAGAATAATAAGAAATAAATATTTACACATAAACAAGTTCAAGGAAAAATCTAAAAATGAAATGCAAGAAAGCAAGAAGGTGACTCCAAAGAAATGTCGAGCCACAATCAAAGTCAAGCATGCTTGTGATGTAGTTCAAAAGTTCTCAAAGAATATTTAAGCCTACTAATAAGATATTTACCTTACATTACTTATAAAAAATTGATACGGATTAACCCAAGTAATTTGAATAAGTAATGTAAATTTAAAAACTCTATCAATTGATATATGGAAAAAAGCAAAAAGATAGACTTCTTGTAGAGAATAATACTTGAATATTAATTATGACAAGAACACATTAAAACATAAAAGAGTATTTCAAGATAAAGAAGAGCTTAATAGCAATAAAAGATACAAACCAAAGATTGGATGCAAAAATTTTCAAAAATAACTTAATAACATTGCTAAGATTTTCTTTCCACTATAATTAAACTAAATGAACACTTTGTGCAAGTATTATAAAATTTAACAATTGCTTTAATAAATCATTTAGCAGTTTAATAGTCATTCTATTTTTTATTTGATAAAATATTTTAACCTTATTCAACTTTTGTTCAAACATCATAGGCCTTCTTGAATCATTATATAAAGAGAGCAATATTATATATAAATGTTTTTCATATTATTATACACAATCTCAAATATATCCAAAATAATTGTCAATTCAAAAGAATGTTAAAACTTTTTCATAATACATTTGTAGAAGCAATGTTATATAAGTAGCATTTATTATGCTTTGAAGAAATTAAAATTTCTTTATCTGAAAAAAATTAATTGTTTTGCAAGAAGTTAGGATAGAAAATGAAAGTATAAATTCATATGAATAATTAGTGATAATATAATTTTTTTTTCTCAAAAATTTGCAAAAATGGATGGAAAAACGATTCAAATTAGTATTTATAATTTAATATTTACAAAGATCGCATTATTTAATGAAAAGATAAATAAATGGTAATGATATTTGCAAGGCAAAATTTCAAGCACCTTTTTAGTACTAGTAACGAATAAAGAGCAGAAGCAGCACATACAAACAGCTTAATTTTAAATTTTTTTTTGTTTATTGAAATTTAAAAAACTAGTTATTCTTTTAGATAAGAAAAAAGATTACATAATGGTGACTAACATTTTTTCCTATATTATGATTTCTTTTTTTTTTCTTTTTTGAAGAAAGAAAATGAAATAATGGTAACTGCTATTTTTTTCCTATACAGCCTTTTTTGAAGAGAATAAACATTAGTAAAACTAATAAATTGAAAGAGTGACTGTGAAAGTAGTTTTGCATAGAGGACTGCCAAGAATCAAAGCACAATGCTCAAGACCAAATAAGTGGTACATTGAAGCTATCTCCGATTTCTTAAGATTGTGAAAGTGTTGCGCGAATTTATTATGTGAAAAGAACAAATCTACAACAAACATGTAAGCACTCCCTTAGTAAGCCACTTTAAACTCTCAAAAACTGAAACTAACAAGATAAAGATATGACCAAAACTACTTATGCATTAACAATTGAATCATTAATATAGGTTATGGTGTGCACACCTGATAAAGCACGTGTAATAAGGGTTAAGCAAGTAACAATTGGGACTTCTGTGAGAAAGATGCCAAATCTAGAAAAAGCGCCTTAAAAAAAAGGTGAAAAAGATGGTCCGAAAGAAAGAGAACTGTTAATATGGTATTAAAATTTAACCAGGAATAATATAACATTGTAGAGACTTCTTGACAATGATCTGAGTGGTGATCCGAATATATGTAAAAGTATACCATCGGTGATACTTCCATTAGTTGGGTATTGCAGTTGCAAAAGTAATATTTTCAACCATAAAAACATAAACTTGTTGCAACTACTAAACAATAACAACAACAACAAAGCCTTAATCGGCTACATGAATCCTTTTTCTCCATTGTGTCCTATATAGTGTCATATTTTCATTTAGTTCTAAAAAATTAAGATCATTTTTTATACAATAAGCCCAAGTCTTCCTAGGCCTACCTTTGCCTTTCTTAACAAAAGTCGAATATAGAACATCTACTCTCCTAATCGGATCATCAGATGGTCGACGCTTAATGTGACCAAACCATCTAAAACAACTTTCTCTAATTTAGCAAAATAGTTCTTGAAAGAGTTGGGAAATTCGCATGATAATAGTCTTCGTTTTCGTGATAATAAAAAATATCATCCACCCAAAAATGTAGAATTTCCCCAAAAGACAAAGTATATTCAACTTAAGTAACATTTTACCAAAAATTTGCAAGGTGTGCTACTATTGAATAAAATTAAAGGATCTTAGACCACATTGAAATGCTTACAAAAAATGCCTAAAGTTAATAATTTAGAGCATCTTACAGCCGCAATCAATTTTCAAAGGTGTTTGATAAAAGATGCCAAACAGATTTAACTTTACAAGGCAATATCTATCAACATTTTTATCTTTAATTGGAAATTTATTAATGTGGTAAAGCCTTCATTTTTGCTCTACATGATAGTATACTACTCAAAACAGGTGATGGTAATGATAAATACAAATATAAATAAATTATCCTACGTTTTGGGATAAAAATAAGTTCAATCATTTGTGAAAAGAATTGCTACTATAGATTAGATTCAAATCAA